TTCATTTTTTTCAGCGTGCAGTCGAAGCTCAAGTTTAAGGCCAGGCCCTTAAAGCTGCGACAAAAGGTGGATGTTTATGTCAGACATTCAATATGACAGGAACATGTACTCCACAAACAGCACTGCCCTAGATACTACAGCCTGTACATGGAATCATCTAGAACTTGTATGTGCTGAAGTCTCAAAAGGAGTAGAAAAAGAATAGAAATGACATCTTCTTTTGTTTTTTCTACCTAATTTCTCTGCACAGAGATTAGTTTCCATTTTCCAGATGTGCTAGGGTCTCTCCTCTTTTTTTGGTTTTACCTTGTATGTTGACCATGTTCACCATGCTTCTGTCTTTGTGTAAAGCCTCTCCACTCATCAGATGAATCATCACATATTATTCTAAGTGCAATAAAAGACCTAGTGAAGGTTCCACATAATGCCAGATGGGGAGACTTGTCTATACATGCTCCCACCCAGCACACCCAGTCTCCACCCACTTTCGTGTTGCCCCCCTTCCAAAGCAGCCAATCTTGGGGCAATACTGGGCGATCAATATTTTTTAGAAGGGGTCTGTGTTGTGAGTTGTGGGTTTTGAGTTTGCTTGTCCCCTCGGGTCGTGGAATATCGATTGTCATGCCCATCAGAGTCTCAGATCACATCAATATTCTTTGTGAAAATCAGGGTTAATGGACTCCCATGTTTACATGCAAACACTTCCCCCTTTCAAATGCTGTGTTAGGTTTTGGGGGCGGAATTGGAGATTCCCCATTTCATTGTGTTTTTTTTGTCCTCCCAGGCAAAGATAAGATACCTGATACCTCGATACAGCAACTCACTGTGACTACCAGTCCCTCGGGCTCATGTTATTGTAGTGAGTCCTCAATTCCTCACTTTCCCATGAGTCTACAATGGATTTATTCTTCTCATATTTCCAGTGCCTCTCTTTCCTATTGCTCATTGACAGTCAGTAGGAAATATATTGTTTCTACTCTTATTTCCAGGGCACTGAACATTCTTTGTATGGCACACAGAAATGCATTAAAAAAAATTTTTTTTTTTTTTTTTTTTATTTTTTTTTTTTTTTCATAGAGGCACTGTTCGACTGTCTTCAAGGGAAGACTATAGTGGAGCTGAAGTTGAATAACACACATTCACACTCACGCATAGTTTCTCAGAGTCTATTGTTTACCCCGTGCATCACTCTGGTTGGCTAAGCCGAGTGCTGGAAGCTTCCATTGTGTGAAAAGGAGGCACAAAAATGACATTTTCACTATGCAGCTCATTGCACGAGTCAGAGGGACCCTGGCAGGAGAGAGGCAAATTTGCAAGGTGCTGGTAATGCGGGAGTGAGGGACGAACAGAGTGAAGGGGAAAGCGTCTCTTAATCAGACTGGATTTGGGGGGAGAAACGGCTATTGTTTGGCT